AATCCCAAATACTAGTAATTTGGGATTTTGGCGTCCCAAATCCCAAATGATTTGGGATTTGGGCAACACGTATAAATACTACTTTTATTAAAAATAAAATTTGTGAATATTATGAAATTATTCTTTCTACTGTTGTTAACCGTGATTACCTTTACTAAACACGATTAACTATCAACTAATAATAGGAAAACTATTGTCCAAAGATTACAAAGCAATTGGACGAATATGTTATAGTTAGAAGGTTTTATACTTGAAGAGATATAAGGTGTAAAGGATTTGATGTTACGAGTTTGTTCGAAAGAGACTAAGGTATGAGGTTTTTTAAAGAGGTAGGAGAGGGATTTAAACAATATGACATGAAGTTAACTAATATTCACACAGAATATTATAAGTTTCACACAGAAACTATAAGAATTCACACAGAATTAAAATAATTAATCAAGATCACAAAGCAAGATTAATTATAGACAGAATAATACCGAGATCACGAAGTAGAGTATTATTAATAAAAAGTATTTTACTAAGAAATCAAAAGTTTCAAATTATTATTTGTCACAAAGACTTTTATTAATAATTTATTACATATATCGAGTTCAGAATGTATTCAAGTTCTAACTGTTCTAACTCTAAAGGCAAAAGCTATCTCTATTTATACAAAATTGCTACCCTGTTGTGAGATGCCATCCTGTTGTGAGACTATAGTTACTAATATCAAGAAAGCTCCAGAAATTTCTGTCACATTCTGGGAGATTCTATGAGCTATTTTGACTAATGAATTATTTGTGCTAGAGGTGTTTACTAGAGGTGGTGACCAGAGGTGTTAACCAAAGATGTTAACCAGAGATATCAACCTCGTATCACAATAAAAAATGATCTACATCTGTTACTCATAAATAATAGTACTAATATATAATGTTATACAAATAAAGAAATCTAACTAATAAACTATGCTATTAAATATAATAATATTAATAAATAATATATATAAGAATTAAGAAATAAAGCTAACAGCACTAATAATCTTCACCTTTATTAATTATCTAAAAATTGAGAACAATAATAAGTGTGAATTAGTATTTTCTGAATCTTTTGAGATATTTCTACTTCCAGTATTGAACTTAGTGAAACAATACTTACTTAACAGAAGAAGCCTTTATATTTGTAGTTAAAACTTATATAAGTTTTCAAGTCTGTTAAGGAAGAAAAAAAAATTCAATTTTATTATAAATTAATATTTTTTCTTTACATTTCACCTGATTTTTTTTTATTCTTTTAAGTTATTTTGTTCACTTAAAATATGTTTCTAAATGACCTTTTTATTTCTAATTGCTGAAACTAAAACTGCTAATTCAAAATTTTCTCTTTGCAAGAATAATTTTGTTTTTGAGGATTCTACAGAAAAAATTTGAATTGACAGACTGTCATCTATATTAAATTTGTGCTAATAATAATATCAGTCTCAATGAGAATACAAATATTTGTAATTTTTAATTAGAGTGTGCAGATTTCAATGATTATATTTATGTACAGACAATTTAGTCAATAATATCAGAGGTGGTATAAGTAATTTACTTAGAATATTATTTTAACATAAATATATAATATTTTGCACATTTATCTTTTGAATCTTATCAAAATAGTTTCATATATACAAGAATTAATATTTTCTATATTATTAATCTTCCATGATTTGGTTAAATAGAAATTTCCTTGTTGATACAGTTACTTTAATCTTTTCAAAACTTCTATTCTCATCACAAGTAACTACTGGAAAAGGTAGAACCATTGTTACTACTTGGGAGAGCAAGCTTTACTAATTAATAGTGGTTTAGCTTGATAGTGAACTCGTGTCAGTTAAATTATGTGAATGATTATAAATTAAAAAATAAAATATAAAATAAAGAAAGAATTCAATTAAAAAAATAATTTTAATTTATTTGAATAATTAACTAGCAGATATTAATGACTATAACTAATCAATAAAAATACTCAATAAATGAATTAACTAAATCAATAATCAAATTGAAATTAAAGTTACTATAAACTAAAAACAATCAAAAATCAATAAATCAAAATAAAAGAATTAAAGGTGAGTTTGAGTATACAGGATTCCTTTGATTATTTCAGCAAAACTTTAAGACAAAAGTATAAAGTAATTGTTATTTTTATTAAAATAAAAGAAATAGGAATTGTATAACTTTACAAACTAACTTGGACAAGGTAATTTCTTTTGTCCTTATATACAGTACATGTTTCTTTCTAAGGTACAGACTTTAATTAAAGCACTCAATCTCTTTTAGAGTTCAAGGTTAATTGAACCTCTATTGAGGCACTGTTTCTTCTTTAAGGTGTACTTGATTAACAAAACTGAGCACCTTAGTGTGAGTTGGCACATTCAAGCTAAAGTATTAGTATAGGTTTAAGTTCATGCTGTTACCTCAATTTCAATTCCACACTGTTCACATTTAATATAATAGGATCCAATATCAAATCTGCCTTCTATACCATTATAATTGTCATGATCTAACTTACATGGTGGACATTAGTAATTCCATAATAATCGTCATTTCTATCACTACCTTCTTGACATAAATTAGGATATTGTTTTAATGTTTAATTATGGAAATAAGCATGATCATGAGTTGGATTAGAGGATGCACTTGCTTCTGTTTCCAGTAAAAATTTGACATCCTCACTTAACTTATCTTCCAAATTAGAGATATGAGACAATAGGATAGAGGGTGTGGTTGTAGTACTTCCCAAGCCATGTCCAGAAATATTAGTCACATGATTTTGATTGTTTATTTCACTTGATCTACAATATTTTGAATTTGTGCATTAGTCAATTTTGAAATTTCATTTGTACTATATGTGATCAGTTTAATTTTATCTATTCCAACTCCATTTTCTCCAAATAGCATAGCTCTAAGTGTTCTTTTACACAAGTTATCTCGAATGATATTAGAAAGAAACAGTTTCATTTCTTTATAAATCATCATTCTTGCTGTTTTGTCTTTGATCTTACCATCAGCCATAATAGCATGAACCCTGTTTTCAAATTCAAGGGAATAATAATACCAGTTTAGGATTTCTTGTTGTCAAGATTTAATTGCTGTTTTAAATAAATTAGATAAATGTTGAGCTGAACCTTTATTCTTTGATATATTAATTTCAGTAGAGCTAGTATTATCTATTGCGGAATCAATGAGGCTTTGTCTATCAGTAGATAAATACAATTCTTCTATTAAACCCTGCTCTACAATTTGATTTTTATCAGTCTCATCATCTTGCTCCAATTCAGATATTTCAGTTTGATCATTTCCTGAACCAATGGTTTTTGTTTCACATGATAAATTTGAAACTTGATCGTTACCCAAGGGAACAGTTTTTATATCACATGATCATTCTCTATAGAGAGCGGTTTCTTTATCGTCTGATAATTCTTGGATAGCTGTTTCTCGCTGAAGTTTCTTTTTCCAGTTTCTCTCTTATTTCGTTTCTAATCTGTTCTTTATGTACCCGTTTCAGAAATTCGATTTCTTTATCTCTAAAAGAATTTGGAGCATTATTGAATTTGAAGCGTTATTAATTATATCAGATGCAGGAGTATCATTACATCGTAAGCCTTTCTGTTTATGGGTACCGTTAGAATTTTCCGTTTTAGTAGATGTGATAATAACTGAAGATTGGTTGATTTCCCTGGTATCATCATCTGATTTGGCAATGAAGTTACTCTTTTCATCGTCTTGCGATTGCTTCTGTTCTAATTTCGCAACTCCAGCAGCAGTATCCTTATCATTCTGCTCCAGTTTAGCGATAAGGTTTGTCTTTTCTTTATCACTCCGTTGCAGTTTAGCAATAAGATCACTCTTTTCTTTATCTCCGTGCTCTAAATTCGTAAATCTAGCTTCAACAACTTCTTTATCATGTTTTAGTTTAATATTTTCGGCCTTAATATCAGCATTCTCTTTTCTAAGTTTATCATGACTCGCGCTTTCTAGTTGTTTTATGTTTTGGAGGTAACCGATTTCGATACTATGAGGTTTTCCCTCAGCTACACATATAAGGTCTTCATTACCCTTGATTAAATAATCGAACGTCCAGAGGTATCTTCACTAGAAATATCATCTTGATATGCTATTTATATTTTTTCTTCATCATTAAGTCTCCGAAAAATGAAACAACCAATAAAATTAAAAATATAGTAATATATCTTTTGAATGAAGAAGAAGTACAAAAAGCAAAAAAAGTAAATCTAGGAAATACTGAAAATCACATTTATATGCAAGACGTGGT